CATCTATCTACCATCTATCTATATACCATCCATCATCTATCTATCGATCTCTATCTTCCTATAAAGATAAATATTAAGATAAATGCAAACAGGACTAAAGAACCCCAAATCATATACAGAAATAACTTAAAATAGTTACCAGGAATAATATTAGAAAATGAAACACTTGAAACTCTCTGAAAGAGGTAATCTTCTTTGTCATAGCCAGTTATTTTAAGGAAGAAGGCTTCATTTGGTGGAATAAATTCAGAGATATTCCAGATTCCATAAGGATTCCTTTCAGGAAAGGGTTTTATAGGAACAGTCTTGAGAGGGTCTCCAGCAATGCTTAGCAGTTCTAAATGATCTAGTCTAGCTGGAAGATGGATTCCTGTAGTATTGAGTAGAATGTAGGTAGGTATCCCTGTGGACCAAATGCAAATTAAAAATTACACCAATCATTCCTTTTCCATTTTTCTTAGGCAGCATAATCGTCTATTTTGTCCCTGGAAGAACCTGGTATATTTTAGTTTCTCTAAAACAGTGTGGGAAATCTGGAACTTCTGTCCTAAATTTCTATTTTGCCTTACAAAACCTATTCTGACTATATTGCTGAATGTTAGTGGCAGGTCTGCTAAAAATCAACCACAATACATTCTGGGTTGTTGCTGTTGTTGTTTTGAGACAGGAGTAACACAAAAAACTGAATAGACTTAAATTCAGTTAAACAAAAGAAAGAATATTCTTAACCGCCCTTCTAAAATTTAAATGGGTAAGTACAAGCTCATCAAGCTGCATTTAATAATATTGTCCACTTTGTATTACAAGCCTATCATTTTAGTCCTTATTCCCACAACACAAAAACATAGACTTTCAGCCATCTAGTAAAGGAAATAAGATAAATAAAAAGACAGCCATATGGCAAAACATAGCTCTCTTGATTTGGGAGGAAACGTGTCCATGCAGTCAACAAAAGTTGATCTTAACTCAAATGAGATTTTACTTTTATATTTCATGAAATCCCTTAACCTTCATTCCTATAGTTTAGGAAACTTTCAAAAGGCTCAGTAGTACTATTTAAGCTGATTTCTCTAGGAAAACTCTGTCTGTCTATCTATTATCTATATATCATTTCTGGCTATCCTTTATTTTTGTATTCATTTATTATAAAAAAAAGAATCTAACTTTCTATTTGTTTGGCTAATTTTTATAGCATTAAACCATGCTGGGAAATATCATTCCATTATCAGAAGAACACAAGTCAATGTAACTTCAAGGTCTTAGAAAAGACATACTGAAGTCAACATTTGAACTCTAAAGCCACTATATTCAACTGGACTGAGTTCTAATAAGCATTATTAGAACTATTCACCATTAGTTACAACCAAATGAAATAGGTAATAGTCATAGACATTTTAAAGCAGAAAAATTATCGATAGCCATTTATGAGATCAAGTCAAGATTGTTCTCAAAATTGAACCTATTTCATTGCAGAAAATAAAACAAAGCATTTATCAGCGTATCTATTTGTATGGTCTACTGAATAAGAAAATTAGGCCTTTCAGTAATAACTTAAACAACAAGCAACAGTTCTGTAAGGTAAATACTACTCAAATGCAAGCTAAAATAGCAACTAACCTTGTACTGGTCTAGTAGAAGTCATTTTGAAGTCTAGTGTAGGCTTCCTGGAAAATCCAGCTCTGAAGTCAATATTGCTAAGTCCAGTGATACGAATAGAGTGTCGTCCACTACTTGATGTCTACAAAATATTGATGAAGCTATTCCAGTGTCATAGTATGAAGGTTTGTGTTCCACAAAATCTTATTTATAAGTTTAGTTTATAGTTCTAGCATATAAGGAAATTTCACTAAAATAATGGACTTTCTTTTTCCTGCACATCCCGTATTCACTTATTTACAAGCCGTTCATTGCCAACACATAGCATATTTAAATCTTAGGATAACTGGAAGCTGTTAAGGGAGAATTGGGTGAGCTTCTATATGTTGATTGAATTGGATTGGATTGGATTGTGTTTAGATGCTTATTTTTCTTTAGTTAATGTAGTCATTTTTCATTAATCTTTTCATTCACTTTATTTTTGGTGCTCTTACTTGGCTCTTTTGTTATACTGTTTTACTAATTTTAATCTTCTTTCCAAAAGTAGAGTTCAGAATTCCTTGAGACTGGAATAGTACATATACCCCAATAAGTAAATAGATAGCCAGATGTATATCAATACATGTATTGGATTTATGACATTTCCTGGTACAATAAGCAATATAACTAGTCAATAAAGTTTTTGGATGAGGCCATATATAACTCAAATAAATAGAAAACCTGCAGAAACCATTCATGAAGAATTTTAATTGCAAGCCACCAACCCATAAAGTTCTAAAAGCTCAACATCATTGAAATAAAAGCAAACAAGATAGAAGCCACCACATAGTCAAAATAAATCCCACAATGATCATATGAATCAAAGTTTCTGAGAGTTAGCAAATTGCTACTGACCCCATCCCTATCTTAAGAAACTATTTTTTTAAAAGAGACCCAGTTTTGCTTACTTATTCCAGATTTGCAGAATTTGCATCAACTATAGTGCTACATCAAGAAGATGCAATATAAAACACATAACACCCCCCCCAAAAAAAAAAAAAATTTGCTTCCTTTAGCCATCATTATATTAAAAACAAAGAAACTGAAAGCAGTTAAAATTAATAAAATGAATGAAGAATCTACAAACCCCTCTATAGTCTTCATAAGCAGAGGAAAAAATTAAATCATATCAAATTTGAAAGTATACATGGATTCACAGCTGCCAAATCTATTGTGTCTAACAAAGTGGTACATAGCAAAAATATTAAAAGAAATAGTTATTTTCTGTAAAGTTAATCTTTAGACAATCCAGTCAGACAAATCTGTCTCTTTATTGGAAAGGCTACTATTTATTTCTGTTACTTAACTTTTCACCTCTGTGAAATCATTACACCAACTGTTTTTTTGGAAAAGGCAAATCCCTGTCAAGATCAATGGATTAGCAAAAATGATTTCTTTCTTTTCTGACTGCCAAAATAACTCCTGCTATCAAGTGATAATTAGCTGCTAAGAGTCAGCTGGGCAAATATGCAACAACTGATCTCTTTTACAGGTTGACACAATATATGCACGGGCAATTTATAACAGGATTAAAGTACTCAAGCAATGTTCTTTTTTAAATCAGGGCATGCCATTTAATTACCAGCAAACCAAAAGGAAAATAAAGTTGTATTTAGTAGTGAAAACAGTTCAAGGTAAAGAAATTGAATGCTTGTTTCTTCTTGGCCAAGGGAGCTTTTGAAATTGTCATTCTCAAATTCTAAGCCAGCTGCCAGTTTTGAGAAGGGACATCATTCTGGCAACTGCAAATTGCAAATTGTTCACCGAGGCCAGCCAGAATCTTTGGGCTAGTAATCCTGGCAAACAGATCATGCAAAACCATAATGGGCAGATTTGTGTAACAGATTAAGCCAAAACTAAACAAACCACAGTATGGCTTTGTAATATTTGTAAATCAGTCCACAGACAGACACAGCTCAATTATCTTGGCAAATCTGATTTACTACCCTAAATTTTAGTTGTCAACCTTGTAACAGGAAAACCAAATCAATAGTTTTGGTAATCTGATTCACAGGGATGAAGGTTAATCCTTTCATAAATGTTTTCCTCTCTCTGTAACACAGCAGCTTGTAAACACAGAATACCAATTCTCTTCACAGGCATATCCACAATTATTTTTAGGATATTCCTTTCCTGTGCTAATGCTGGCTTGATTCTGTCAGTACTGAGACATTTCATCAATAATTTGCAAAGTATACAGTCCAAACAGAAGATTACTATACCCTTCCCTTGGACAATTCCATTCTCTCCCACTTTTTGGTCCCAAGAAAGTAACTGTCAATCATTTCCTTCTTGTAGGGTGAGATGCCTTGGAAATAGAAATATATATAACAGAATAACCAAGTTGAAAGGGACCTTGGAGGTCTTCTATTCCAACCCCCTGCTCAAGAAGGAAACCCTCTACCAGGGGTGGGATTCTACCAGTTTGCACCTATTCTCTAGAACCAGTTGTTAACATTCTAAGCAGTTCAGAGAACCGGTTGTTAGAAGAAATTACTGGCCTAATCCTGTAAGGAAGGCAGGAAGGAAACATTCTGGTGTTGCTTACAGAAACTGCCTCTCCGTTAACCCTTATTCCATTCTTGGCAGGACTAGACTTCCTGTCTCAGGAACTTCTCTGGAGTTTTTTCCCCTCCTTTGCTGGTACTTTTGCTTGTGTGGAGTGACCATTCAAAGTTACAATGGCACTGAAAAAAGTGATATGACCATTTTTCACACTTACGACTGTTGCAGCATCCCCACAGTCATGAGAGGCCAGGCGAGGAGATGCGTGCCTCGATGTGAGTGATAATGAGTTGGCCATGCCCAACCAATAACATGGCCACCAAGCCATGCCCACCAACTAAGCCATGCCCATAGAACCGGTTGTTAAAAAAATTGAATCCCACCCCTGCCCTCTACCACTTCAGACAAATGGTTGTCCAATCTCTTCTTAAAAACCTCCAGTATTGGAGGGCCCACAATTTCTAAAGGCAAGTCGTTCCACTGATTAATTGTTCTAACTGCCAGTAAATTTCTCCTTAGTTCTAGGTTGGTTCTCTCCTTGATTAGTTTCTATCCATTGGTCTTGTACTGCCTTCAGGTGCTTTGGAAAATAGTTGACCCCCCCTCTTCTCTATGACAGTCCCTCAAATATCAGAACACTGCTATCACTCCTAGTCCTTCTTTTCATACATAGAGAGAAAATTAAATAATTTATATAAACAAAATACGCATACATGCAACACAATAAGTAGTTTTAAAAATGTTTTCTTGATGCCCTGTTTTATTTTTGTGTCTTTTGTAGTTATCCTTACCCTGACTGTTGCAGAAGTACAGTGGTTATAACTCTTGCCATGTTTGCTGGCTTAAAACATAGCAGAAAAGAATATTTTAAGGGTGTTTCTCATTTTGGGAGCAATGCAATGTACAGGCAGAGAGGCATAGCTCAGCAACATTACCATTTATATATAATTCCAGTGTACAGACATTGGCTTAGAAAGCCAAATGTTTCAACAGGAAAAGACAGCAGTGAAGTGTGGAATAAGTTTATCATGCCTGCACTACACTTTTGGATTATCAACACCAACTACAATTATCCTCTGGAGGGGCCTGTGCACTGCAGCAGTGCAAAGCTGAGAATATCTCATTTGCAAAACATACATTAGTGGTATGTTCAATGCACATATTTTGGACATTTATTTCACTTCATTGGTTGGTGACAGACCACATGTATGTTTTACTTTGTCCAAAAAACCCAAAGAGGCTTGGAATCAAGAAGAAATCTAAAAAGCATGGAATCAAAATTTCTTCGTTTGCTTAAGATGAATATCTTAATCTTCTTACCAAACACATAAATTTGACAATTAACTTGATTGTTTATTGTTTATGCCCTTGGCATATCAAAAGCATCTAAACTGTGAAGCCACCACTTTTCAGAACCATGATATCTTGCTTTTAACTCTGTTGGGCCATGAAAATCAAGATTTAAAAAACGGAGTTTACTGAAGACATTTGTCAAGATAGCCATTTGCATCAGAGCAATGGATGGATTCAAATATCAATTCATAAAACCAACTATGTTTAGCACTAAGCCTGAAAAAAAAATCCTTTAGCTTCAGTAACAAGAAACGTGGGAAATAAATAAACAATTGACATACATTTTCTATAAAACTTCAGGTAGTGGAAAGTAAACTGCAGCATTATTTCATTAGGGTTACCTGAATAGTCCATGTTCCTGGTACTGGATCTTTTATGTTCACTACTTTAGCAGAATTTTCAATATTTAGTAATTCATTCAAGCCAAATCCATTTTTTACAAGTTTACCTACAGCGCAGGCAAAGAATGAGTATTTTTATTAGTTATTTCAGTAATTCTTCACATCTGGACTATGTTCTATACAACAGAAAATAATTTTGTCTTTCGGCAACTTTACCACAAACTGTGTTATGTTACAAACATATATATTCCATTTGAATTGTGCATTCATTCATATATGGAGTGCATTTAACTTGCATTAAGTTAAATTGCTGTAATAAGGGTGTTCTCAGAAAACCGTGGATTTGTAGAGATTTGTCTATGGCTCTGTCTGTATTTTAACCAAGTGAGTCAGTGTTGGATTGAAGTCTGCAAGCAGAAACAACAGATTTAAATTTAATCATGATAAATTAGAGGTATAATTAATGGGCTAAGGATAAGCAATTAGGAAAACAGTGGTCCCAACTTTTTTGGAACCAAGGACCAGTTTCATGGAAGACAATTTTTCCATAGACTGAGAGGAGAAATGTTTCAGTTTTGCTCACTCACTTACCCTTCACATCCAGTTATGAGGCCTGGTTCCTAATACACCGAGGATTAGGAATCATTGTAGGAAAACTAACTATGTTAGATAGATTTCTGATCCTTTGAAAAGGGAAATTTGTAAACTGAGGATAGTTTAGATCCAATTTCTCACTGGACGATACTTCTACTTTCAGCTCTGGCTGGTTTGTCTTCTGTCCCAAATTTACCATAGTGATTCATTTCTTAGTAAATTCATATCTAATAAGATCTTCATTGGGCTATCTGGAGATTTCACAAAGGCTTCAACTTCTACAGAATGCTGCTACTCTGTTACTGAGCAATATGTTTGATTGCTGAATCATTACTGTTCTGTTTCTTCATTAGCTACCTATTTCCCTATTTTGAGATATACTTGATAACATGTAAGATCTTCAGTGGCTTGAAGTGCAGATACCTTTTGGAATATCTCTTCCACCATGTAAGATCTCAGATATATCTGTGTTTTACTGAAGGCTAACCTCTTTTTTTTTCATCCTTTAGACTACTAGCAGTCATTCCTCAGTTATCCAAATATTTATAGGTTATGCAATTTGCTGACTATTATTTGCCAGCAGATTGTCAAATGCAGGAAATGTGTACTCTATATGGGCAATGAGAAGAAAACTCAATGGATACATAGTGTGGTATACTTTTACTGGTGTTGGGTTTGTTCATGGGTTGCGGCAGAAGTGAATTTATTGCTGTTGTTTTCCTGCTAACCTAAATTCTGGAACTAAATTCAAATATAAAAATCATTCCCTTGGTCAATATTTATATAAATTGGATAGACAGTAATACTAAATACCACTAAAATCAATTTTGTGATCTTCAGATGAAAAATAAGATAGCAAGTCACCAATCTTCTTCTGTGATTCCAATGCTACCTATCGTAGAAAACTCAAAATGCCTAAAATATGTCTTATCATCTTTAAACTATTGGGAATGTTTACCCACCTTTTTGTCATTTCTACTTTTGAATATTCTTGATTTCCCATCTAATTTTCTAATCTTTATTAATGTTGGATTTGCTATTCTGGTCTCCTGTGCTTTAATCTCAAGGACTTTTTTTAAAGTAGGAGAGGCATAATTAGAAAAAAGGTAGCACTCCTTAACTGCCATCCCATAAAATACTTCAAGAAGTTAGAGTTATCCAATGGTCGAGGGTAATTATATGTCCTCCATAAACTTGTACTACTTGCATAATAAACACAGGAAGGTACTGAAAATAAGGCATACCTGGCTTTGTTCATAAAAATAGAGTAATATCTCACCCAAAGGGTTATGAATTTCAATTTCTGGAGAAGGACCACTTAGTGACACTGTAACTTCTTTCAGGCTAGGATCAAAAGGGATCTGCCAAAAGCTTCTTCCTGAAGTTAAATGGTCTGTAGACAATAGGTGAACTTTGGAAGCTTGCACAGCTTCTTCTACCCATTTCAGTACCTGGAAAAGTAAATAGATCCATAACTTATTCCATAATAAAAATATGTTAGATGCATGACAAATAATGGTTCTTTTGAACCATGAATGTACTCTTTAACAATCATCCAACAGCTAGCTTCAACATACATGCCCATGGGTCAAAAAAGAGCCAGTCTAGTGTAATAAAATAAGACCAGGGAGACCCAGATTTAAGTCCATCAAAGCTCACTGACTTTTTCCAAGAGATGTTGCTCAAAAAAAGGATTGAGAAAGAAATATTATATGTGCTGACTTATGATGATGGATATAAAGCAGAATATAAATCCAAATGAATGAATACTTAATAAAATGTCATTATAAGGGGGTGATTTAAACACCTTAAATTAATGAAAGTAACATAAATATTAATTTAATATTTACTTCCCACCTTTGTTGCTAAGATTTTAATAGAGTGGGTGTGCTGTCCCAGCCAATCTATGGGAAATGGATAGTTATTCAGGAATTATGAGCTGTCCCCTTAAGGGAATGCATCATGGTAAATGTAGTTAAAGGTATCCTGGGAAATGTAGTTCATGTCACGTGGCCACATCCGTAATCCTGATTGGTCACTACATTGACTCTCGAGGGTTCTTTGTCTGAACTCTCTAACTCATGGCACCTTCTTTCTATCGCTATGAGATGAGTTAGGAGATAACCATCTTTTACTTTTCTGTATCTTGTACAGAGATGGATTCATAAACTGTACAGATGCAGATGGATAACTCAACAAGATGTCCATAACAAAGAACATTTATTGGTTCATCAGGTATCCTCATAACTCACCTTTGTGACAACGTTCTTCTTTAATGACCAATCCTTTGTATATCAGCCTTGCAGGTAAAAGATGGTTATCTCCTAACCCATCTCGTAGCAGTAGAAAAAGCTACTATCAGTTCATGAATCCAGGCAAGAATGGAGGGAAACCTCCCCCAACCCCTCGAGTGTCAATTTAATGACCAATCAGGATTATGGATGTTGCCACATGACATGAACTACATTTCCCAGGATATCTTTAACTACATTTACCATGATGCATTCCCTTAAGGGGACAGCTCATAATTCCTAAGTAACTATCCAATTCCCATAGACTGGCTGGGACAGCACAGTGGGCTTCATCTTCTCTTCGAAGATGGTGACAACCCTTAAGCCAACAAAAAATGTTCTTTTTTTAGCTTACAAACTTCTCAGAATCTGTTGAATTTTACTGTCAGCATCCCAAATTAAATTGAAGACAGGTCTAAGCTTGGTACAAGAGACCAATATTTTTGTAGACCCAGCTATAGATTTCCTTCATCTGTCTACTCTCAGTACTCAACATCTGTAGGGGAGCTAGCAGATCCTAGTCTGAATATGTTTATGGAAATTAGAGACTTTGGAAGGAAGTGTTGGTTTAATTTTGGTTCACAGCTAAAGATTTATCATTGAGATAAACCAGACCAGGCCAGAGCATGAAAGCTAAAGTCATTCTCAAATACTGACAAACTTTTGAAAATAAACTGGAATTTAAATTCATAAACATGGATATATAGTTATACCATATATTTTTCAGTTTTTATTTATCGCACACTTGTTTTGGTGACAGCACAGCACAAATAGTGGAAAACAAAGAGGACAACTTTCTGATTTCTTACCACAGTTTGTGAGGGAGCCTTACATGCAAAGTGGAAAATAGTCACACCTTGAAGTATTTACTTTTCTATCCTCAGTCAACATCTTTCATTAATATTTGAATCAATATCTTATCAACAAGTTCTTCCCATGTGCAGTGTTATGAATGAGAGAATCCTCATTTGCAAATATACTCTGATTTTCTCTTACTAATAGACTGCTGAAGGATAATTCGAAGCAATATTAAAGAATATGTTTATTTTTCTCAGGACATTTCATACTCAGCATTTTCCTCAAGACTGTATAAAATATATCTCAACTTTTTAAAACAAAGTGATTTTTCTAAGTTTTTAACATTCAAGTTAACACAGTTTTCTTGCATAAAGTCTGAATAAAGTATAAAGTATGAAATAATAGAGAAACACCATCTTTGGATTTTGTTTCCAAAATGTGTTTTGCAGTTCTGAAAAATGGCAGGGCTACTTTAAAACCTTGCATATATGTTGTTACATTGGCACTCTTTTGTTTGCAGTGTATGCTGCAGGAGTGTTCATAGAGTATGATTTTATAAAAAGTTGAAACAGTGGTTGCAATGATGCAATCAAAATTCTGCCTGCTTTTTTTAAAAAATACTCTATGGCTACCCCAGCACTCTGCATTGTTTTATTAGATATATATTGCTAAAAGTAGAATGGTTACTAGAAACTGAATTACACAAGGTAACCCATTATTTGTTATGCCCATGAAATAATTCAGTGTTTCTATTTTCCATAGTGTACATTCCATGTGTGTGTGTGTGTGTGTGTGTGTGTGAGAGAGAGAGAGAGAGAGAGAGAGAGAGAGAGAGAAATTCACTATAGTAATAATGCAATTTACTAAAAACTAAGGTGAGCTTCTGTGTGTCCCATAAACAGCAGAATGTAGAGGTGAATTGCAACTTCCAATAATGACATTACATATTTGAAGAAAACCAAGAAAATATTAATGCATTCATTCATTCACTCACTCACTCACTCACTAAATTTGCTTTATATACTCTCTCCAACATGGAGACCAAGTCTTTTTTTTAATTAGCCATGCAACAAGAGTAAATTTACATTTCTAAAACCTTTGTGTAAACTTTTTTTACCCTTCTTCAACATAAAAACCTGAGGTTTCAAGCAGAAACCACAGACATATAAACAGTGGTGGGATTCAAATAATTTAACAACCAGTTCTCTGTCCTAATGATTTTTTTCCAACAACCAGCTCAACAAACTGCTCAGAAATTTAACAACCGGTTCTCCCAAACTGGTGCGAACTGGCTGAATCCCGCCACTGCATACAAAATATGTGGGATGGTGATGGTTTACACCTGAAAGTAATTTCAAGAACTGTTGTGTGTATATCTGAAACTAAAATAATCTGTCCAGGAAAACTCAATACTTCCAAAGCTGCTAGAAACTATTAGAAGAGGAAACATTATATGTACAATTGTACCATCCGCCCAAGTTTACTTTGCTACTTTAAGATCCAAAGCAAAGGAAGTGCAACCAGAGTCAATACTAGTGCTACTCATTTTGATTCAAGCTAATATATCAGGCAATGTGAAACATGGATTCATGTATAAGTTACATTAACTGATCAGAATCCAGAAATGAGATGCCATTGCTAGTGAACAGCAAATTCCTTCTATCAGCGGTTGCTGCTCTTAAAAATGACAAATAAGTTGGTCAAAAAACCAGTTTTCTCATTAAGCTTCTATCACTTTTTTTTTTTTTTTTTTTTTTACAAAAAAGGCATTAGGAAAAGCATAATAGGCTGGGGGAAGTGTGGAAGGAGCAATTCTTCACTCTTGGAAATGCAGGAAGCATTTGTATGATGTTCAATCTGCAGCAAGACAGGGAATGAGGTAATAAGGAGCTGGAGAAGGGAATTTTAATGAAAAACAAGACAGAAAGCCTAAAATCTAAGTGGTCTGTGATCAATTATTGCTTTAGACAAATCTGCAATACAAAATTATGACATTTGAATATAATTTGACATATGCTTTCAATTTAAAACTCTGTGGCAAGTTTTGCAGATTTCCCCCACTCTCATATTTAGACTACATTTACAGTATATTTAATATACAGAGTGCAGGGCAGAAATAAGAATGCATTATATTAGTAATACAAGAGAACACATTTCATCAAATTTAATCAAATGACAAATTTAAGGCTGTTTATACCTAATTGGTAAATCAGCTAAGCAGCAATGAGTCAAGAAACAACCCTAACTGCTGCTTGCTTTTTCAATTTTCTATTTTAATGGAAAAGATTTAACTTTTATTCCTAAATCTAAAAGACCAGGACACACAGCAAAATTACGTGTTTCAAATTTAGAACCCTTTGTGATGGTCTAACCTGCTTTTGAATCCTTGCATAGTATAAATACTTTAATTATTCAAATGGATGTCATGAGCACAGCTTTCTTAGGTTATTCTCTTCCTCTTGGTTGACAATAATACTTACACAACAAGGCAAATGAACACAGTTTTGAAGAAAAAAAGAAACTATTTTAATAGTAATAATAATGATACTAATACTTAAAATGATCCAAATAAATATATGGAATAATGTCTAAAGCACAGTATAAAAATATCTTAGCAATAAGCACAATTTTTAACAATATTTTAATGTCAGTTTGTTTTAATCTTTTAACTATTTTTCATTTGTTTCTATAATTTATAAGCCGCCCACAGTCACCTTGTAGGGGAGATGGGTGGCATAAATGTTTACTAAATAAATAAATAAGTGGTTGGAGAGAGAGCTGAAGAGACATGTAAAGAAAGGGGATTACCATTTTTATATTTTTAAAAAATATCTTTTATTGTTTTGCTTTTCAAACTTTGCTTGTATATTTTATTTAACTCATTCAAAAAGAAGAGAGGTTAAATAACCCTAAATTTTTCATTAGATTTTAAATCACATTCTTTTCAACTATTATTTTAGAAAAGACTTTACACTGTTGTATTTAATGTTGTTGGAGATGCATCAAACATGTTTTATTTAAATATATTGTTTTATTTTGATAGGAAGCCACCCTAAACTTGCATTCAGCTTTGGCACATTTAATTAAGTCATCAAAAGCAGATGTTGGAAGAAAATCCTGGGTTCGAATCTAGATGTTTCCCCATAGAACATACAAGACAAGTTGCTTAAAGCAGAGACAGAGTTTATTTCAACAGCGTAACATGTAATCAAAAGGTAGGTTACAAGCTAAGAACACTGAGAGTAGTAATATTTATAGTAAAAATGGGCTTTGATTGTGAGATATGTAAATTGAGGTGTGTGAAATCTGGAAATTTGTTTCTCACCCTATAGGGTCTGTAGATCTTAGATATGTAAATCTCT